TGCTGTTTGCTAGGCAGCAGGTGAAACGCCGCTGGCTCAACTAAACACTGGACACTGATAGATGACACTGACAAGGAGTAGTTGAAGAAGAGGAAGCAGCTGAAGCTCATTTTAGCTTAAGATGAAAGAGACAGACCAAATTGAAACTCTAATGGAAACAGCTGCACACAGCTGCAATCTATTGAAAGCAATCCCATTGATTCAAAACAAGATAATTTTCAGGTGAACAAATCAATAGCTGGTGGACAAAAAAAGAGGCATAGCAAATTGAGAGATGCTAAAAATTTAAATTGAAAGAAAAGGAAGTTTCTAGAGACTACGAGCATATTTTAGAACACTTATGTAATAGAATATTTATTAAATTATATAGTAAAAATTATGAAATGTTGAAAAAAAAACTAATTAAAATTTAAGTGTTTTGATTACTTTGGAGAAATTGTTGAATTTTAATTTTAATAAATTACATAAACAATTTTGCTGAACAAGTTTTTACCGAACTACTACATAAGTACCTGGAGAGCCCTTTCTTAATGTTTAATCGTAGCTACAAAATAGGCAAGGTTCAACTATACGTCCCTAAGGCAAACTAGCTTAGAAATACTATAGAAATATTCACGAGATTCGAATCTGAGATTCGATAAACAAAAAAAAAACACCAATAACCTCTTTTTCGCTAGCCCAACCACAAAAAAAGTAACTGAAAAATTCTCTGAGGCTTTTCCCCAAAATTGTGATTGCGAGAAAATGCGTTAAAGGGGAAGCAATATTTATGTATATTTATTCGTAGAAGCCCTTGAAACTATGTTTAACGAGTGCATTAAATTGAAATTGAAAATTTCACCGTGGCAAAAAGGAATATTTATTGATTTTCGGGAATTTATTACATTTTTAATTTCAGAACGATAAATATACATATGTATAAATCAAAGTAATTGGCGCAAGTGAAAACACATATTATAATATGTGCATGAAAAAACACATGAATTTCAGCTTGACTTCTCTGCTGCTGATTTCACATAAATGTATTTATTCATACTGTTTTCAAGAATATGTTTTCACGTCGCTTAAAAGTTGGTATTTAAATCATAGCAAGCTTTTGGCTGTTTTAAATTATTTTTTTAATTATGTATATATATATTTTTTTTAAATTTATAAAAAAATATTTTTCAATCGCTAAAGTTTTTTTTTATAATTTAATAAATAAATATAAAGCAAATAATAAAAAGTAAAGAAGTACTAACAAACATTCACTTTAAAAGTGTTTTTCATTAAATTCCATAAAAGTTTCTGCAGTAGTGCAAAAGTTGGACAATAGTTTGTAATAAATCCAATTAGATGACAGCAACAACAATTTCTCTCACACTTTTAGCTTTAAAACTATGGACGAAGCCAAATGATTGATGGCAAATCTGCGTGTGTGTGTGTGAGTGATTGCTCATGTGTGTGCGTGTGTGTGTACATAACTTGCCAATCAAAAAATAAACACACACGCACACACATACATGCCCATGTGCAATGCCTTCGTAAAAGTTTTCTTCCCCATTATTTTTTTCGGCTAAATTGAATGATAAGGTGGCACTTATAGAGGGGGTGTGGTCAGCATAGAAACTTTCTCACACTGATTGATAGCAGTGCAAAAGTTAATTGCATGTGGAACACAGTAAAACTCCAACCATTCGCCTCTCCACCTATTGCCCTCCTGCCGGGCACAGAAACCACAGAAATTCAATTCATGTGTAGCAAACATTGAAAATCTGGACACAATGCAAATTGTAATTTAAATTAGTTTATAATTAAAAATTAATTATCACAGAGCCAGCCATAAAAGTTAAGGTATGAATGAAACTGAATTTATCTATCAGTAAATTTAAATAAAATTTATTATAAATTATGAAATTATTCAATAATTCATAGTATATTGCGCATACAACGTGTGAACAGCTGCAGCAAATGGCAAATAGTCGCTTGGCGTTCGGCCAGCTAGTTCGTTAGAGCCAGCTACCACTGTGCCAACAACTGTCAGGCGTAACAGTTATAAGACAAATAACTGACATGTGAAACGTCGTGGAACAGCAATTGCGAACTAGTTGAACCTTAAACTAAATGAATTTTGTGGCAAATTCAAATAAAAATTAAATTACACGATTGAATAAACCCTAAATAAATTTTAGTTGAATAAAATATAAAATTTGAAATAAATCATTTGAACAAATGTTTCATTTATTTATTTTAAAAAGTATACAGGTTTTTCTTCTATTTAAAAAAAATCTTTTTACTCAACAAATATGTTTTTCCCAGAATTATTATTTTTTAAATAAATACAATACAAATTATTAAGCGAAGTAAAAAATTATTTTTTTTCAAAATTAACAGTTAACGAGTATCAAAAGTCAAATTTATACAAAGCATATTTGTTCATTTCTAACAAACCATTTATATATACATATATACATTTATGTACATATATATATATATATTTATATTCAATAGATACACATGTCAAATAGAACCAGCAATTTACATATTCTCAAGGGTATTTAATTATTGCACTCTCAAAATTTGTTTATTTTTCCAAACACAAACCGCAAATCGTAAAAGCCACAACAGAACTACCTTTTTTGTATTGCAACAGAATTGACAAAAGCTCTCGGGAAATTTTATTCGCAGCCATTTAAAAACTAATAATAAATAATAAATAAATTTAATATATATATAAAAATTTGTTACTTGGCTATCTAAAACATTTTTGACTAACCTAAATTATTTAATATAAGTAAACCTTTTTATTTTGTTTAAGTCAAGTGAAAATTATTCTACACAATTTTGTACTCGCCTTCATGGAAAATAAAATACACTTAAATTTTCTCATGCTGCTTTTGATTGATTTACATAAAAAACTGTAATGGAAAAAATGTTAGAAATTTTTAGCTGCACTTTAATTGAGTTAGCACACACTTTAGTCACACTTAATTTATGCAAATTAAATGAGCGTGAAATTACATAGTGAAATACTTCCTAGTGTTTTTTCCCTTTCACATCCCAGCGCTAAATTCACTTATATCCGAACGACAAGGCGCAACAATTATGTATTTTAAAAGAGAGCGAAAAAATCGTAGCATACTTTTAAGCTGTTGCACAAAGTTCAGCTATACACATGTTTAAAGTGTGGAAGGAGAGTGGGAAATGGGGCTGGGGTTGGGGTTGGCGGAATGGCTGTGCTAAGATGTAAATTGCAATTGTTTACCTTTGAATTATGTTAAGAATGCATTTTAATTGCTTCTGCTGCAAACTGTTTAAATTTAAACATTTATTTTTGGTTGTTGTTGTGAACACACTTGAGTTGAAGTTTTGTCGCACGCACACACGCACTCACAGACACACACTGGCATACGCATCCAAGCACACGCACACACACACACAAACACGCGCGCGGGCGACGCCAAAAAGGCAATAGAGAAGTTTATTGTTGTTGTTGTTGTGCGAGGGCAGCTGTCGAAGCGAAGCGCGACACTTGAGCTAGTTGTTGTAAGCGTTTGATATTTATGTATATATAGATATATTTATAAATAAATATATATACACATACATATATACATATTTTAAAAAATTTATATTTTAATTTAAATTTAAATTTAATTTTATTGAATTTAGATTTTATTTACTTTAGGAATGTTTTTGCTCTTTTAGTTTTTGCACAAACTGTTGGGCGCTGTTGAGAGACGCTTGACGAACATCGAAGCAATCGCGGGCAGCTCTGCGAGTAGATTGCGTCCTGTCTGGTTGTACCCTAACGACTTAATGCGCTCAACGCAGCTTTTCGCACGACCATGGACCTGAGCAAAGCACCAGGAATAGCCAAAACTTCCAAGCATCCACGACAAAGAGAGAGAGCGAGAGAGAGAGAGATTCAAAAAGCGAAAGAGATACATATAAAGAGAGAGAGCGCAACTCAACTGTTGTGTATGCTGTGGCTCAATGTTTGAGTGAAAGCTGCGCTCTCCGCTGGAATGTTTACAGTTGAGCAGAGCAGCGACGCCGACAGAGACGTGAGCAGCGCGTGGGATGCTGCTTGCTGCTTGCTGCTGGTCAATGTCTCTATACCTGCAAAAATAATGGCGCTCGCTGCTTTGGCAAACTTTTATTAATGAGCGACAAGTGTGCCCAGGCTGCTGCTGCTGCTTCTGCTGCTGCAACGCGCTCAACATGTGCGCGCGTCCAAAAATGGCAAAGTAAATGGCAAAAAAATATAATATTGAGCTACGCATCACCTTTCTCTCTCTCACTCTCTCTTTCTCCCTCTCTCGTCTTCCCACCAAATTTACGTTTGTTAATGAGTGTCTAATATTTTTCAGTTGACCAACAGCTGCTTCGATTGATAACGTTAAAATCGTCACAGTGCACGCAAAGGTAAAGCTGCTTTTGAGCTACTGCACACTGGTGCAAGATATCACAATAAATTTTAACTGAAAATTAATTCAAAATTTGAAAACACTTTTTAGTTTTATAATTTTGATTCATTTATTGAACTTTAATTTATTTTTAAAACTATTATTAACTACCAAAATTTAATTTCTGGATCTGTTTAGTAAAAGTGAAAATTTTATTCCTATACTTTCATGGAGAAATTTTTAAATTTAATTGGATATCGAGTGCTTATTTCTTTAGAAATATTTTCTTTTAATTACATTTCCAACATAATTTTTCACAGATATTTTGAAGTACATTCTTTTAATTTTTCGGTTTTTGCTTTTTATATTATTAGCTAATAATCAACATCAAATATCTTTTTATCTAAAGCAATTTTTTCTTTTTGATAAATTGCTTTTTTTTAATTGTTTTAAATATGTATATGTAGTATATGTAAATATATATATATTTAAAACTTTAAAAAATATATGGTTCAAAATTATATTTAAATCTTGCTCTGTAAGTATCTATATCCAATTAATCTGAAAATAATAAGAAAATAAATAAAGAACTATATTTAAATTTTAATAATTTTTTGTCCATAATTCAAACGGCTCTATTTTCAATAGCACTTAACCCATTAAGCATCATTAAGCATAGCTCAATATATACCCTTAATTTTCTTTATGTGTAACTCACGTTTAATTTTCAAATGCTCTCAATTCACTGTTCAAATCGATTAAATAGTTGCAGTTGTTGTTTAGTGTCTATTACGGATTTATTGGGTAGCTTATAAGCATTAATAATGCAAGCCAATAAAATTAAGTGCATTAACTCGAAATACCTTTTCTTGTTGATTAGCTTCGAAATGCGTCTTTGTTTGCAAAGCCCCGAAGCGAAATACCTAATGCAATTCGTATTATAAACATATCTTTATATATAGACATATATATATAATAATATATATGTATATGTAGGAGCCTCTCAGGTAAGTGGTATTTGGGTGTCTATGTAGGTCAAATCACAGATAAATGCATTTGCGACTAATTCTAATTGCATTAATCATGTTCAATTAATTTAATGTTGTATGCAAGTCTTCGGCCCTAGACTTTCTCCAATTGGACGAAACGCTCGCGCTTATACTGATCCTCGTAACTATTTACAAAATTCAGACGACCTTGATACTGTAGATTCATAATTGTTTTCACTAGAGGTGGATGCTCGTTTCCCAGTTCCAGCCACAGCTTGCCACCAGGCCGCAAATGCCGACAAGCCAGTTCGAAGACCAAACGAGCTACGCGCAATCCATCTGAGCCGCCATCTAAAGCATTTAGGTTCTCGTACCTGCAAAAGATGAAGTTGAGATTAAACAGTTAGACAGCTTATTAATATAATATATAATGTTCCATTTAATTAAATAACTCTATAATTTCTCATTATTAAATCGGAAATAAAAACTCGCCATTCTTTTTCTTACATTGATATTTTACCTATACAGATTTCTTAACAAGTCAATTCAGACTCTATAGTTTTATAACTACTTGTATTTATAAAAATTTCTCTAATTTTCCACCTGTTAATAAGATTTTCCAATTTCTCTATATAACCTTATTACGTAGAAATCAAAAAGTAAGTTAGTCAATCAGTAAATTAAGCATAGTAAACAATTGTTCAAAGTTTTTTTATGACGTACAAATTGATTGAGGTATCAAAATGTAATGTTATCACTTTCTAAATTCTCTTATCAATCAATCAGTCTTATCAATAAAGCAATCAATTATCTTGGTGACTTACACAACCACTTCGGGATGCAGAAACTGAAACTCTTCGGTTTTTACGTAGGGAGGATTGGAAATGATTAGATCGTATTGCTTGTCCTTCAGCTCCTCGGGCAAATAGTTGTCCGTTTCCATGGTGTGATTGTGGACCTTAAAGCGCTCTTGGAGTCCAAGCATCTTGGCATTCTCCCAGACCAGCTTTGTTGCCGCTTTGCTGCGCTCAATGGCAGTGGCGTCTACTTGTGGCAATGCGTGCAGCATGGATAGGGACATAGCTCCAGAACCACAGCCGACTTCCAGCATATTCACATGCTCTACTTTCCGATAATTTTCAATTACTAAGCGGACAAACTCCTCCGTTTCGGGGCGTGGAATGAAAACAGTGGGCGCTGTCTTTAGTGTTATATCCATAAAATCCCATTCGCCGATAATATGCTGCAATGGCATGCGGGCGCAACGTGCTTCGAGGAAGCGTTCGAAGTCAACTAGCTGCTCCGAGTTGAATTTAAGCTGGGCGAAGTCATCCGGCACGGTGTTCTAAGGGTGCAAAAGGCTTACAATAAGAGACTGTTGGGCTGTAGAGTATATGACTTACAAATTTGCGCTGCAACACATGCGACACAATGCATTTCAGATTAAAATCAATGTCATTGACGCCTGCTTCCTTTAATTTATCTTCCCATCCATTCAGCGCATCGCGAACCTCAATCAATGGACTTACAGTTGGTGTTGCTGTTTTCGCTGCTGTTATTTTTGCGCTGCTGCCGCTTAGCTTGCTGTTGCAGAATGAACGTTTCGCAATTTGCGCCGTTCTCCGCAGTGGTTGCGTTAAGTATTTAAACATTGTTTAATTTAGCTTTATTATCTAATGTATTGATTAAAAATTTTGTCAGACTTTGGAGGCCGAATTTTATGGAACAGCTGTGGTCTAATTTATCGTCAGCCACCACAATTTTTTAGCAATTCATCGATAGTAGACTAGAGAGTCTAGAGGTGTTTAAGTTGCAAGTCTCGAAAATATTAACTTAATATAATAATAAATATTTATTTCGTGCTTTTCGAGGAACACCCAAACTTAAAGAACATTATAAAAAAATAATAATAATAAAATGAAATCTTGTTCTTACTACATATACAATGTCGATGTACCAAAATTAGCCACAATACGATTAATAAAAAACAATCACTAACAATAAAATAAAAATATATTATTACTTTGTGTCGTATATAATAATATTGCACATTGTCTCGCATTTCCCACTCAACCGTCTGGATCGTCCACTTTGGGCGCTAGATAGTATCGTATATAGCCATAATCTTCGATAGGGTATTCCACAAGTAACGGCACATCGGGCGCCAAGCCAATTTTCACCTTTTCCGCCAGGGGCGTGGCACGTGTAAACGTGCTTAAATATCGACCGGCAAATGAGAGTGCAACGGGCTCATCCACCTGTATGGACACTTCTCCTTTGGTCGTCTCGCTCAGTTTTATGTTTGCCGCTCCCATCTCCCCACTAGCCGAGAACTTGATGCCCTCCTTGGAGCAGGCAATGACCACCGATTCGCTAAACGTGGCCATGTCTCGGCAGATGCGAGCAAACTCTGTGGCTGGCATATGGACAACACAGTTGTACTCTGTCTCAGGTATGGCCAAGTGCTCCTGATCCAGATTTAGCAGTCGTAGCTCGTAGTCGGCGGTACGCTCCTTCCCCGCCGACTCGAAGCTAAGTTCTACTTTATCTGCCTTATCCGCTGCCTTGATGGTGACTGCATCATCGCCATTCGCACATTTCAGCACCTTTGTCAGAGACTTGAGATCCAGGCCAAGTGAAATGTTTCGATTGCATTTGTATTTCTCAAAGTATTCTTTGCGCAGGCACAATGAAACTAGGGAGACGTGCGAATTGTCCATGGCTTGCATCTACAAGATAGTTTGTAATTGTTTACCTTTTCAAAGGGTTGCCTCACCTGTATGCCCGTATCACTGCAGTCCAATGTACTCTGGTTCAGAATCTCTCTTAGTGCATCTACAATCCTTTTTAATGTTAAAGTGCTGGCCAGACGTGCCTCAAACATGTTTACAGTTTTCTCTTGTGAAACTAACAACTTATAGATACAAATACTTGAAAATTTTTGTTTGTAGGAAATATTATGAAAACTTTGAAATACCCTGTAAAAAAGTTAATAAAAATATAATAGAAATAAAAACAAATCGTTAAGTTCATTTTAATAGAATTAAACTTTATTATAAGCAGAAATATTCATACATAATAAATTGTATAAGATTTAATCTATCTTAAAATGGAGTATACCCGATTTTACATTTATCAACCGATATGTCAACAACTTCGATAAGTCAGATTATATGCAAACGGCCATTCAATCGCTTTTCTATGTTATGTTAGAGTTACAGACCGAATAAATGAGTTATACATTAAATGAAATGGATGCAACCAAACAAAAAGAAAAAAAAATGTTCACAAATGATGCAAAATTAAATTATAAAATAAATCAGAGCTTAAGCAAATTCCGAGTTCTCGAATTATTGATAGCCACTGCTATGTCTATCGACTGCCGCCTCCTGCCATGCTTGAAGTATGAGAAAGTCACAGACGAAATAAAAATAATTATAACGCAATATTAAATTAAAATTAAAAAATCAAATTAAAATAAATTTGAACATAGTATTGTTTTACTAGTGTCTATTATTCAATGCATCGATTTGTCTATCGACGACCGCCACTGGCGATAATATCGGGCTATCAATATAGCTGCAGCAGCTGATGAAAATAATAATCACATAAATATTTTGTGTTGGCAATTGCCCAATTAGAAAAATTGAATATAATTTTATTTCGACGTTAATGCAATCTTTAAAACACTAATGTAGTCATAGAATTACTAACATTTTGCAAATGTCTGCCACAGAATCGAGAGATTGGTTGCTTTGGTGTCGCCTGTGCGCCAAGGAAGATCTCGAAGGAAATATAAATGTGTTTTTAAAAAGTGAACAAAGGCTGAATGAGAGGCTAAATGAAGGTAATGATGCCGTCAGCGACATGGCCCTAGCCACTGCCATAGGCAAATACTTCTGGGTTAATGTAAGTGCCTGTTTATTGATTGTAGTCGCCATTAAGTTAAAATGCATATTTTTGTAGATAACTCGCGGCGAGGAGCTTCCCGAGATGATCTGTAGCGAGTGTTTGTCGCTGGTCACCTCGTTGGTCAATTTCTCCGAGCGCATAACTCGCGTGCAAAAGCTTTATTGCATATTGCAGAGCAGACCAAAAGAAGCCATCAATATACAGGAACTACGCCGACGATTTGGACTGCAGGAGGAGGGTGATCAGGAGCTCCAGACGCTAACTGAAGTGCACTATGTGGAGGAGAAGCCAAAGCTAAATGAGCTAGAGGAAACGGCGTTAGAGTTGGAAAATCCGCTCACGCCGAGCGGGCAGAAAGTGGAGAAAAAGACAGATGAAGCAGGAATTCGAGCAGGAATAGACGCTACAGATGATGACGACCAGCAAGAGGAAGAGGAGCAGGAGTTAGAAGAAGAGGAAGATGAACCGCTGATGGACACAGCAGCAGGATCCACTGCTGAAGATGAAGAAGAGCAAGATGAACAGGAAAAGCAGAATGATGCTGCAAGAGAAGAGTTGGTGTTGAATCTCTGCAATGATGCAGATAGTTCCAACTCCTTGGACAGCAACCCCTGCCCTGATCAACCTAAACAAGCAAAAGCGCTTAGAGGAAAATCCTTTCCATGCAGCGAATGTCCGCGCATCTATGCGCTTCACCAGACGTTGGTGCGGCACATGCGACAGGGTCATGACAAAGAAGGAGCACAGGGAGCAGGCGCAGCATATCAGCCTATTAGCAAACTGTCCTGTGAGCAATGCGAGAAGAGCTTTCGCTCGCGCTATCAGCTGCAGAAACACATGCAACAGCATCTTCCCATGCCCAAGAGGAAACGCTACCCTTGTCCAAGTTGTGGAAAGAAGTTTACGACGAATGCCTCAGCTCAATCGCATGCGCAATATGCCCACCAGGAGGAGCAGAGACCACGTCCTGTGATCTGTGAACAATGTGGCGTTGCGGTGCATTCGCTGCATGCATTAAAGGAGCATCTGTTGAGCCACACAGATTACGCTCCCTACGAATGCGACATATGCAAGAAGTGCTTCAAGAGCGTTAGCCGGCTAAAGCATCACAAGGAGACGCACGATCCTCATAAATACATCTGCCCTGAGTGTGGCATGCAACTGAATTCACGACCCACTCTCAATCGCCATCGATTGGTTCACACGGACCAGATGCAACACAAATGCGATTATTGTGGCAGGGAATTTAAGCGCGCGAAAGCCCTCAAAAATCATCTCATCTTACATACAGGGTTGAAGCCCTACTCCTGCGACTTTTGCGAGCGGACTTTTGCCAATGGCTCCAATTGTCGCACGCATAAGAAGAAATCACATCCCGAGGAGCTGGCTGCACAAGAGGCGGCAGGTGGGGGCAAGACCTACAATCGAAATATTCCTAAATTGGAGGCACTGAAAGCTTTGTGAGTATAGCTAAGGACTTGGCAAAGATCTATATATCAGACTACAAATACTCTGTGTTTCTGTTTACTTATAGTACCAAGAATAAGGATAATCTGTCGCCAGTGGCCACCAAGCAGAGCGGATGCTTTGCCTTTGGAAAGAAGCCAAAGAAAGGAGCTGCAGGAGCAGTAGGTGCAGCGAATCCTGCTGCTGTAGCACCGAATTCCGCTTCTGCATCTACCATACCCGCCATTGAAAACATTTACAGTCACATCATGAAACCCGAACAGCAACAGCTAATCCTTGCCAGCGATGGCAGCGCAAGCATTTTGCCTGTGGAACAGGCGGAGCCTAATCAAATATTTTCGTATTAGAAGGGAGCTTGCTGATTACAGAATGTATACCTGCCATGGTCCTTAACAGATACCTTATGCAACTAGAGACGGCTGCTAATCCTCAGCAGCATTCATTTTACCTTAGATGAAATGGATGGCAATGAAAAGATTTCCTATTAGAATCCAATTGTATGCGTTAGAATTCAAATGTAATCGAAGAACCGCCAGCTTCTATGTATGCTATATAGATAACATGTGAAATCATAAAACAAAACTTGAAGTATTGCCTTGACAGCAGTGACACCAAATCCTGGTCAGCTAGCTACTACAAGGAAATATTTGGCTTATGAAGCCGGAGGAAATAAGATTCTTATTAGTATCCAATTGGTGCATTTTAATGGCAACTCATAAAAACCAATTGAAACGACGAAATAAAGCCTGAATTGCCGCATTGTCAGTAGCTGCAGCAGCAGCAGCTGGACCTGGCCAATGAAATATTGCAATTGGGTTCCGATTGGGCGCGCTTATTTGAATCCAGCTCGAGCTCTGCGCATGTCCAATTCAAAAGGCGGGCGCACGGCTTACCCCATCTCTATGTACGTGGGAGTGTGCGTGTATGTGGAGTTTCTTTATATATATTTTGGGGGGCATAGTCATTTGGGCAATATCCTTTATAAAGGAATTTAGTTCAGTTGACAGCGTGCGCTTCCTCGTGATTGCAACGGCTGCGAAGTTATTTTATTTTTGTAATAAGCTAAAACTAACGATACATACAGCTGTAATTAAGCTGAATTAGGTGTTGCGCCTAATAATATGGCCGCATTAATAAATGTGCATTAACTAACGCGCTTAAAATACAATAAAAAAACTCTTTTGTGCAACGAGCGGAAAATAAAAAAAAATCGATTTCTCGCCAATGAAAACAAAGTGCTTTAATAAGCTTTAGCTAAAAGGCAGGCTACTTCCAAATTCAACAAACGAATAATATAGCTGATTGTTATCAGCTATTGCGTAGAGTTTATAAACAAATCAGAAAAACTTTAACTAAAAGAATTGCTCACAAAGATCAAACTCAAATGCAAAGTTAAACAAAAGCCGACCTACCGACTGAAATCAAAAATTTTTGTAACAGACTTATTTAATTAAAGCATGTCAACTTGAGTCAAATACAAAGAAATCAAGTAAACAATAAAGGGATTAAATTTATTTAAACAATTTTAAGCAGCAGCTGCTAGCTGCCACAGCCCTGGTTCCTGAACTTAACAGGACCATTTTGAGTGACCTAACAGTGCCGTTTCGAGTTGATTTACTGTTAAATCAACATTAATGTAGAAGCGAAAAAAAATAACAAAACGCGTCGCGCTGCACGCAGAGCACAAATTGTGTGAAAAGTGCGAAATATTTAACGCGGATTCCAGTGGGCAACTTAGTATCCAATCACTATAAGTGACAAAACCTTAAATAACCGTGTTGCATTTGTTTGAATAGTGTTATATAGTTCACTGCATCATCAGTCGAAGTCGGCGTTTTTCACTTGTTTTTACGCACATACACGCGTGAGTGTGTACGAGTGTGTTTGTGTGTGACTGTGTGTTTCGGTTTGAAAAAAATCGATTTGCTCGTAATTTTCGACTCTAATTGTGAATTTAAACAATCATATTGCTATGTTCAGTCAACGCCGGCGCCAGCGCCAGCAGCGCAGCGTAGCTTAACATGTGTTGCCTAACTGTTGTTGTTGTTGGTGTTGCTACTGCCGCGACTGCGGCTGTTGTTGCTGTTGTTGCCGAACGGGTCCAGCGGCTGCGTAGGCGGGCCTGAACACCAGCCAGTTTATATGTTTTAGTAACAACGACAACAACAACAATAATTTAACAGCGCGCGCCACTCTGAAAGTTGAAGCAACAGCGCATTCTAATTGGACTCTGTCCTATGCTGCACTGATAATCCCCCCACTCCACTCGCCCACAGACCGTTAACCACAATAACCAAAAGCTGCAGCAGCAGAGAAGAAGCAGCAGCAACAAGCTAAGTTTTGTGACTTAGCGGTACTTGCTGTCTATATATACATGTGTGTGAGTGTGTGCGAATATGCTTTATACACAGTTTCAAAAGTGAAATAAAGGCATATGATTTTTGTTTTGCAAAGTGCTTGAATTGGAAACTGACAACATATATACATGGACCATGCCCACTAAAAGGCGTTAATGCGGGAATTTTCTAACATAAAACATATTTGGAGCTGACGTTGATTTATGCAGGTAAGATATATGAGTTCAACATAAGATATACCTTAGACGGTCGAGGATCGAATTGGTCTTTACAGTTTTAGAGCCATGTGAAAATTCTGCCTACTATAATTTGAGAGTAAATCAAGCAAAAACTGCAGTCAATGTTTGGGCACTATTGCTTAAAGTTTGAGAGTCCCTCGACATAAACCATTGTAACTGGTTTGCCATTGTAGGGTATTAAGCAGTCGTTGTTCTCTTTTGTTTTCAGTAACTACTGTTAGCCGCGAACCGCATTATCCTTTTGGCTTGACCCAAATTGCGATGCCCTTTGGAACTTTGTTTTTGTTGTCGTCTTCTTTTGTCCAAACTTTATTGCACGTAGAGCAACAGCACCTACACGCCCCCAAAGTACGCCCCTTTTGGTTATCATTTAATGTGCGGCTAGTTAATTGCCCCCACTTACCCTCTTCCTGCCAGCCACCCAGCTAAAAAAACTTTAACAAACTGTCGCCTTCAACTATTTTTTTTATCAGCCAGCAAAGTTTTTAAAAGCGTTTTGTTAGCGCCTCGTCTTCTCCCTGCGCTCTTTATTTGTTTTCTTTCAGTTTTAAATTAAAATTTGCATGCCCTTTCTCTTAGCTGTCTCATTAGTTGGACGGCTGTCAAAAAGCAAGAATTTCTTTAGTGAAATTTCTTCGTTACGAGCCTAAAATCCTAATCCTTGCTACTGCTTTCTGTCTCTAATCGAAACCGGAATCAATAAGCTTGTGAGCATTTCTGCTGCTCATTTCCTTCTTTTGCTAAAAATTACTTTTCATTTGCTGTGAGGGTGAAAGGAATAAGGGAAGCGTTGGGAAGTGCTCAGGGGGTTGCCATGCACTTTAATTAGTTCGCATTTTCGGCAATTTTAGAAATTGAGTTTGATTTGGCTCTCACATATGGATGCATTTCGTTGTTTGTCCTGCTGGAATAAAGGAAACAATAACCGACGGTTGCAGCGAGTTTTCCTTGACTAGGGTCAGCTTCTACTCCATTCTGACAGCGCGGGCGGACTCGCTGTCGTGCTGTCGTCTATGTACATTTAAAGACTTCCTGGGGAATGGGAGTTATTTAATTTATAAATAAGTATGTCGGGGCTATTGGGAAATTAAGCTAAGTTATTCTAAAGCGATGAGGGGTTCTCGTCATTGATTTTAAGTCGGAAATGAACATTTATGAGAATTTATTTTATGCAATTCGATTTCTATCTAGATAAGTTGACTCCGTAAAAATCAATATTTAGGGCAGTTGGGTTGAGGAAAACGTATTTGTCATTACTTATATTATTAATAATATACTATAATTATACGTTTTAAAATGATTAAAAGCAAGACATTGCATTTTCAATACAGAATTTTCTTTTTAGTTACAAGTTTTATATAGCAAGGCACGTCATATAGTTAGAAATATGCATTGAAATTTCGCAAAACTGGAAGAAGCTGATAGGAAAGTAGAGCATATATGATGCAAGGTCCTTAAGACCAATGATAGTTTTAAAGAGAGTGTGAGATAGGTTTTCTTGAACAATTCTCATATGCTCATAGCTTAACTAGAATATCAAGATAATTAGTAACCAGAAGGCGACATTGCATTATTGTATTAAATTGTATTAAAAATTGTTTATATTGTTTTTTATATGTAAATATCAATCAATAACTGAGTGCCTCAACTTAGTCAAAGTTAAGTTTTTAAAAATATTTAAATATTTATTTATTTAAAAATATTTTCGTGTGTCTATAGTTTCGCTATTGAAGTAAGCTGGAATTACATTTTATTTTATTAAAAATTCTTTATTATTTAATTATAAATTATTTATTAAAATTCTTTGTGAATATTGTACTTAAACTGACCACTGTCAGTGTTTATTAAACTTTATCTTTGTTTATCTTACACATTCTTATCAGTTTATCTTGAGCTTAATTCACTCTATCTTAAAGTCAGTAAGAATTTATCGCGGTATTCAATTTTGCTTATCTCATTGATTAAATCTCATTAGTCATTGTACCATACCGAAAAGTCTATTTGCTCGTCCATCCATCATCGAAGACTTCTTTTGTTGCAATAGTTCGTAGTTCTTGTTCCATATTAGTTAATGTATAATTGGCAAGGCCTTTTGCAAATCCCACACGCTCTTAACTTGGTCAACAAAGTTGTCCATTTTGTTATCAATGTGTTTCAATCGTTTGGCTCAGTTGGTCTTTTTCCAGCGCCCACGCCTAAGCCCCTAAATAAGCCACTCGACATACGCATTCGCATACTTAGGGCACATCATATTGATAAGCCTTGGCCAACTTTTGGCAGCCGTTGACAATCTCTGTCTCTCTCTTTCTAAGTTGTGTTTCTTTCAATTCTTTAAGTGCATTTCAGTTGTTGTAGCAAAAAAAATATGTTAATGCTTACCCTAAAACAGATTATGGGAGTTAAAGAAGCTATTTATTTATGAAAGACCTTTCAATGTGTAAGAACTAATCCTACTTTTACTTGAGCTCATATTGCCAATTTAAGAACATAATGCAATATACACATTAAATTCAATGGCGTTGATAGAAAAATATGTTAAGACATCATATTCGACAAGGGCTTATGAGGTATATGAGAAGTGAATTTCTAATATCTCATAACTGTGATTATTAGGAATTAAATGCATTAATTCCTATATAATAAAAATGTACATTGCATTCGATTATATTTCTGTGTTAGATTGCACAAATTGTTCGTCTAAGATATTTATATAGTATTAATATGTTACTCGTAACTATAGAATGAGAAAGGTTTATTGGATTTGAATTAAAAAGTTTGAAAATATTAATATAAATATATATATATATATATATATAATAACAATAAACCTTTCTCAGTTTATAGTTACGAGTAA